TTTTTTTTGGCCTTTTTTTTTTTTTTTTTAAATCCTCGGGTTTCATGCCCGCAGTCGGCCTCGGGGGTCGACCGCCGCGTGCGGGGTCCTGACCGCATGCGGCAAAAAAGCCCGCGGTCATGATCGCGGATGATAAATAGGTTTTTCCATCGTCGTTCTCGTACGTCGACATCCCACCGATGCGCGACGTCGAGCATTCCATCTAACTCGTGCCTGACTATCGTGTTCACCACCAGGCACCCTACAGACTCTCGATCCTCGAGGCCACCGAACTCAAGCGTCAACTTGAGGAGCTCCTGAGACTGGGTTTCATTAAACCCAGCAACTCCCCGTGGGGTGCACTCGTCCTCTTTGCTCGCAAAGCGGATGGAACTCTCCATCTCTACATCGACTATCACGGCCTCAAGCGCTACACGGTTAAGAACAACTACCCCATGCCTCATTCCGACGAGCTGTTCGACCGCCTAGCAGGCAACCGCTTTTTTACGAAGATTGATCTTCGTAGCAGTTACCATCAGATCGACATCGCTGCAGTGGACCAGCCGAAGATAGCAAGCGCCGTGTTAGATGTCGTCAGTCACTGTTTTTTGTAGGGCCCCAAAACACCCTCAGAATGGGGGTACAGCCGACGGAAGCTATAACAAACACAGCCGAATTCGGTTTCTTTTTTAATTTTGTTTATTTTTTTTCAATAAAATATATATATATATATATATATATATATATATATATATATATATTCTGATCATAAATAAATAAAAAAAATTTGGGCAGGTGCCCATTGACATGGACCACACACCTATGCGAAAAAAACACCTCCCTACCAGCCAAAAAAAAAAAAAAAAAACGGAGTTCTCGCTCTGCGTGAACTCCGTGAATTACGACCGATCACGTTTTTCATGACCGGTGACCAGCCCGCGTTCACCAGGGCCGTGAACGGTGAACGGGGGTACGGCACTGCCATCTACATCATCTGGCCCAATTGCCATAGGAGTAGGGGCCACGTGTGCCCATAGCTTCTCTTTGAGACAGTAGGTGTAGGGGTTGTGGGAGGGCAGGTTGGGGAGTTGCTATGATATATAGGCTTGGTGTTTGCGTAAGGTGCGGAACTGGGTATGGGGGGTTGGGGTGGGTGGGTTATAGGCGCTGTTTTCAGTGGGTGAGAGAGAGAGGGAGAGTCGGGCTGCTATGGTGGGTGACCATCTACATCATCTGGCCCAATTGCCAGAGGAGTAGGGGCGACGTGTGTACATAGCTTCCTTCTGAGAGAGTGGGTGTAGGGGTTGTGGGTGGGCAGGTTGGGGGGTTGCGATGATATATAGGATTGGTGTTTAGATTAGGAGAGGAGATGGGTATGAGGGTGGTAGGGGTGGTTAGGTCATAGGCGTTGCTGACCGCATGATAATTGATCTCAGCGTCCATGATTTGATCTTCGACTGTCGAAGCTATGGCAGCCATCTTCAGTAGGTGGGTAGTGCTGTAGTAACACGTGCGCGCACAACCTTTGTATTCGTGGTGTGGCTTCAGGCTCGGTGTTCTCGCTGGTGCGGCCGTGCACAGAGGAAGGAGGGTGTTTGCACACTCTTCCACCGAATCGCGTGCTTAGGAGTGTTGCAAGTTTAAGCAGCGATGGTGGCTTCAGCATGCGTTTAGGAGAGCAGTGGGTGGACGCGTGCAGGCAGATCGATAGGGGGCTATAGCGCGAAGTTTCCACAATAGCTGGACTCTCGTATGAATGAGGATATGTCCTGCGGATTGTAGTGTCTAAAATAGGCAATTGAAATGTGTAGTTTGCTTTTTTTTGGGGGGTATGTAGGTTCGAGTTAAAAAAGGTTGTTTTAATTGGAGGGTATAGTTGGTCTGCTGAAGTTGTGAATATCTTCGTAGTATGGGTGGTAGCATGGTAGCAGTGTATGGGCTTTTTACATATCCGGGGTTATTGAAACGGTTTTCACCTTTTAGCTGTAGCGGATGCAGTACCCAGGGTTCGATCCCTAGACCTCACCCTA